AGCCATGTCTTTTCAGGAAAGTTGCTGGTTGGGTTTGCTTCACAAGGAGTGAGGTGCCCTGCTCGAGCAAAAGGAGGTGGCATTAAACACGAACGTTACTATCCCCCCCAACCCCCCCCAAGAACAACCAATGTTGAGTCGACAGCCCGAATCCCGGGCAAACGTATAGGACGCACCCTATAACTAGCACTAGAACGAATAGCAGCAGCAGGAGTAGTAGCAGCAATTGTAGCAACAGAGCAGCACTCATAGCAGTAATAACAATAAGATTGACCGTTATGATTGTAATAACTGTGACAGTAGGAATTCTAAGAGTACGTAACACTAACAAAGCTGATGATAATACTAATAGTCGTCATAGGACCAAAGTTCAGTTCATGGAAATACCCGCCCGCGGAAAGCAAAGTCCGATTGCCAGGGCAGACCTCTCCCGCCCCCCCGCCGGGAACTGCAAGATCCGGCAGCCGGCATCCTGTAGAAACGAGCAATCTTGTCCAGAAGCTTGACCTTTAATACAGTAGGTGACAAGGTTAAGCGTCGAATTAAGGATCGTCAGGCGCACGTCCTGGGGCGGAGATGTCAAGGGCCCCTTTCTACATAGGAGGTGAGCATTACCCTTCAAATCCAGACCGCGAATCGCCAGGTGGGACATGGATCGGAAGCGGCTTGGACTCGCCAAACCACTGAGCTTCCGGCACGTTGAAGTCGCGGATCTCCTCATAAGCTCCCGTGACCTTAGACGGAAATATAATCCGTGTTTGCAGCTGCTGCAGGATGGACAGCGATAACTATCAGTGAGAAGCTAGCCGCTTCAGCGAAGAGGTAATTCCCGTCTACAATCTTTATGGGCTAGTGCAAAACTGCTGGCATGAAACGGTTTGATCGATACGGAATTCCGCGTCATCATTCTATTCTACTCCATGCTCTTGATTAATAGATTTCATGCAAATATACTTTGGGCCAAATTAGGGATCCAAGACTACTTTAAAGGCAGAGGCAGGTTTGGGCCCGAGAAACCCCGAGATTTATTGCAAATTACTTCCAGGCCCAGAACAGCAGCAATGTTTAGGTTTGAGGTTTCAAGTTAGAAGGCTCGAAGAGCTAAGGCCTAAATCTTGAAACCTCCAATGCTAAATAAGGATGCTGATTCTGAGACCTGAATTGCTTATTGAAAATCGTTAGGACGTAAAGGCTGAAACATTGCTTCCTGAACTATCCCTTACGGACCTTGTATGAGAGGATCTTTCTTTAGATTACTGGAAGAGCTTAATGTTTCCATGGTCATTAGCTTTGTAATTTGAATCTATTCACAATCCATGAAAGACTATGGAATCAAAACCGCTTGTAATTTGCTTGAAAAATACGGAAACCAATGAGAAATCAATCACGCCTGATCAGTACAAAAAATAATCTACATAAAACAATCTGAACTCTAATTACAATAACTTCAAAATCACTATAGTACTGTAGTTTGGCCTCTGAATGAATGCAGCGAGAGGCATATGTGTAGACTGCAATGCGCTTTGCCTCTCCTTCCGGGTCGTCACCTCTCTCACATTCCTCTGACCTCCCAGCAGGGGTCTTAAGATCACGTATCCCCCGCGGCAGATTCCTGCAACGATAAAAATACGTGTCCGGACTAGGCTGCGGATGAATCCTGACCAATCCATGTGAAAAGCTGACAACAGCCCGCACTGCCGACAAAGCCTTCCGTCAGCAGTTGCCCACACTGATTGCACAGAGTGGCAAGGGCCTTTGTTCGCAGATGTCCACCTTGTTCAAGACAAGGGAGGAGCCATTGTCTGACCTTGCATGTCAACATGCAAACGCCTTGATTTGTAAATGGCAACGCGGAGCTCTCAATGTAAGTTCATGCATACGGCCCATGGTGAGCATCTTCTGTGCCAGTTTTGCAGCTGTGCGTCCCTGGGGTTGGCTTGGTAGGCGCTTGCAGGTCGATCACACCCCCCGACCTTAATCGATTGCTCGAACGCTCTGCATGACTTGGGACGTCCTATGTTCCGTGATCTCTAGAGCCACTGTAAGGGACGCTAATCACGAGAGATCTGTTTAGACTCAGACTTATCCCAGCATGCGTCGAACGCACATCTTCGGCACCTTCTCCATCCCGCGCACGTCCGTGCAGTCTAGCTTGTAAACATCATGAACCAACGCAAAGCGCTGGTGACATGTTCAGCATGTCTCAAGCGGAACTTGTCACCCCTTGCTCTGCACAATCGCCGCTGCGCCACAAGCTTTCAAAGCAGCCAAAAATGGAACACCAGGACTCAACACCGTGCAAGCGCTCAAAAATTGCAGCTTCTGCGCGTTGCCACGCGGTGATAGCTGTGACATGACCACTTCATGACAGCCAAGCGGCGAAACCTCTGCTCGCCTCACGATTGTCGAGGCACGGGCCTCTGAACAATGCCCCAAGAGCAAATGCGCAGAGCGCAGGATGCATCTACCTTCCTATGACCCATCTGGCAAGGAGCATCTCCCAAGCAGTTCAGCGCAAGAGCGGCGAGAAGCCACATGGCCCCTTAGTAGGCGGCGGCACGTTGATATATCTCGAAACGTTGCATTCGGACTTCGAATAAGACGTGGCTGAAGCTGCCTTCGAGCACGCCAAGTGGCTGATGTCGCATGGAGCCACCGTGGCTGTGCCAGGCTCCAAAGAGACTTCTTCAGTCTCTTGGGCTGCAGAGTCTGGAACAGCCAGGTATGAAAACCCTGAAATCACAAACAACGCAGAGAGCCAAATGGCTTGCTGAATCAGCAAAGCAGCGTCTGCGATACCGTCCAAAGCCCCACCAAATATAGCCGTCGGAAAAAAGGAAGCACAAAATGAAAGCTAACCCTCCCAACTCCAAGCGCACACCAGGGGCAGCATTGGCATGGGGCAAGCACGTAAGTCAAGAAGTGTGGAGTGGAGAGCCCACCAGTAGCCCAACCAGAAACGCTAGAGCAGCAACCTAAACCTCTAAAATTGCGTCACGAAAGTTGCTTCGTGGGGGTCCGCAATTGGTCAGGGTGTGCCACGGGGTACAGAGAGTCCGTGTACAAAACCACACTGCTGCACTCTGAAAGTTGGCCTGCGGTGGCTTCCTTCAGCTCCTTCCCAGGCAGCGATTGTCATGCCAGCGTCACTCTTGCCACGCTGTCCGCCGCATATTGTCACTCATTACTTGCGTAGGCTTTGCCACCTGTTGTCAAGCGTAGCACACCTGTCTTACAGCATCACTGGTTACCACTTGACAGAAAGATCTTCGTGCTTCTGCTCAGTTGGCCTGCAGCAGGTCCGCTGCTCGGTGAAGCACCTGGCAAGGACAACTTTGCTATCTGGGGGGAAAGATGCACAGTTGAAAGGTCTAGGCTAGGCAGGCATGCCGCGAAACACAACACGCGGCGATGAATTACAACCTGGCAATAACGTGAGTGCTTTCCTACAGTTGGCTCTAGCCGTTCTTTCACCTGGGTCTAGGTAAGCTGCCTACTGGGCTGTAAGTTTAGGTTACACCCTACCCAAAGGTTAAAACATGAACCCTAGACCCGAAACCCTGAGCCACTAAA